CTCAGGCACCGACACCGCATGCAAGGACGTAGAATCGATCGCGGACGTGGCTTGGGCTTCCGAATGGGCCTCATGGCCTGAGTCCAGAGAGCTCACGACCACCACCGTTTACGATCCTTAATCGCTGCCCAGCAGCTAATATATCAATTACAAGAGACAAAGAAGATTATCAGAGATCGCTTTTGCGAAAGCACAGGCGGTGTTGTCATGTTTTAGCTTCTCTTAACAAAAGTATTGGTACATTTCTTTCAATATGTGTGAATAATGGGGAACATTGAACAAAATGGCATTGATCTCCTTTAGCAGAGGCATAACACACAGACACACACGCACATTGAACCTTAATAAGGGTTCCAAGGTGAAAAATATCATCTGACGAGAAAATAAGTGTTTTTAACTATTTTTCTTGTTTATTTTAACTGTTTTAATTTTTGTTGTTGGGGGAAAAGAATATCAAAGAGGGATAGGTATTAGTTTTTTACAGAATTTGCTAAACATCACTTATGTGAAATTGTTTCTTGGATGAATTGATTACTCATGCACCGAGGAGGAGGCAGTGTTGTCCGCAGCGAGGGCTAGTTAGGACCTCACTGGAAATGGGGACGATACGGGCATCATCGACAGAGGAGTGGAACAGGATTGATGGGTGTGGGTGAATGTGCGCGGTGCAAGGGTGCTCTACATATTTCTGTGACATATTCTTAAACTGTAGTTAAAAGGCTAGTGCAAATTGAATAGGAAGTGTGGAGAAATTGGTTGCTATCTTACCAGTCGGTTTTTTATTAGATGAGTCGATTGAATTGCAAATGTATACTACGCATACAAAGCTCAATTGGTCGGGTAAAACAAAGTACTACCACACATTCATTAACTGCACATGCATCCCACGTATGCATGCAGGTGCATGGGCGTCCTTGATGCTGCTTCCGGGCCCAAGATTGCAACAGCTAACGGCAGAATCAAATTCCAAGGCGAGAGAGAGAGAGAGAGAGAGAGAGAGAGAGAGAGAGAGATGGAGAGGGACGGCTAACGGCGCACACACAGGCAGAGAGATGCAGCTAGCTAGCAATCGTATAACAGAATCAAATTCCATGGAAGTTCATGTGCATGCATGCTATATACTATATGCTGCTGCTCTTTCTCTACGCGCCATCAATCAGAGACACCCACCTACGTACAGCGCCATGTCTCCTCCTATATATGCTACTGCTCTTTCTCTTGCTCCTCTCCTCTCCTCTCCAGGATATTAGTTATTACTACACCAAGCGCCATCTCTCAGTCCCAGATGCTGAAGAAATGGATATCGTTTTCTCTCTCTCACCCTCATGAAATGTGATGTTGTTAGCCGTCTCTTTGACTCCCAAACCTTGATGACATCCGATGTTGTTAGCTGTAGCTTTCTCCCTCTCCGGGCAGTTAGCTGTTGCAATCCTCGGCGAATCCTCCTGCTGTGCCGAGGATGGCAACAGCTAACAGCCCGGAGAGGGAGAAAGCGATGACTAACAATATCGGATTTCATCAAGGTGCGAGAGAGAAAGCGACTTCTAATAGCATCAAATTTCATGAGGGTGAGAGATAGAAAAGCATCATCCAACTTGAGGTGCTATATATATATATATATATATATATATATATATATATATATATATATATATATATATATATATATATTCGTCCGTGTCACCGATCAGAGAGCCAAACAATCAGTCCCACATCGTCGTGTCTCCCGTGCTGACAAATCTCTCTGCTCTCCACGGCCGCCTATGCCGCGAGTGTTGTGCATACCTCCCAAAATGAACATCCAAGACATGCGCAAAGCCGATGAAGGGCTACAGCCTACCAAAACCATATATAGAAGCTGACAACAACGAACAACAACTCAAAATGAAGTTACTACTCACTCTGGACGCTAGCAACAGAATCACCCCATTATTCCAATCCTGCTTGTCCTCTGATCCCATACTCTACTTCCTAGAAGAACACATCGCATTGGAATCGATGAACATAACTGAAGAATAACGAAGTACAAATAATTAGAAGAAACACAAGAATCATTAACCGTACCGTACCTGCGCCTATGTTGTTAGTTGTTGTCATCACTAGTACAGTCCTTCTCACCAACAAAACAAGAGAAAGTAAGGACGCTAGGATCACATTCTGCTGGGATTTTCAGCCTAGCAAATTCTAAATCCTCCCATCATTCTGTTGGGAGTCAGTTTTTACTAGACCGGGCAGTCGGTTGAATTGCAAATGTTTAGCTGGTACGCATGCAAACTCAACTTGGGTACAAGCAGTACCACCCATGCTTTCATGTCTGTATAGACTGCACATGCATCCCACGCATGCAGGTGCAGGGGCGTCCTCGCTTTGCTGTTTCTGGGCTCAAGATTGTAACAGCTAACGGCAGAATCAAATTC